CAGAAAATATTCTTTTGGATTCAATGGGACATGTTGTCTTAACAGATTTTGGGCTTTGCAAAGAAGGAATTGCTATTTCCGATACCACCACAACCTTTTGTGGGACACCAGAGTACCTTGCACCTGAAGTGATTAGAAAACAGCCCTATGACAACACCGTGGATTGGTGGTGCCTGGGAGCTGTTCTCTATGAAATGCTGTACGGACTGCCTCCGTTTTACTGCCGGGATGTTTCTGAAATGTATGATAATATTCTTCATAAGCCCCTGAACTTGAGGCCAGGCGTGAGCCTCACAGCGTGGTCCATTCTGGAAGAACTCCGAGAAAAAAACAGGCAGAATCGACTTGGTGCCAAAGAAGACTTTCTTGAAATCCAGAATCATCCCTTTTTTGAATCACTCAGCTGGACTGACCTTGCACAAAAAAAGATCCCACCACCATTTAATCCTAATGTGGCCGGACCAGGTGATATCAGGAACTTCGACACAGTCTTCACGGAAGAAGCGGTTCCCTATTCTGTGTGCGTGTCTTCTGACTATTCCATAGTGAATGCCAGTGTTCTGGAGGCAGACGATGCATTTGTTGGTTTTTCTTACGCTCCTCTTTCAGAAGACTTAATTTTGTGAACAGTTTGACCTTCAAAAACCATTGGACAAATAAATTCAAGCCTGTGGAGGAGACAGAAACGTCAATTTGTGTGAATATATTCAACTATGTATAACAGTGCCTCATTTTTACATGTAATGTTAAAAACTATGAAATATGTATTTTCTGCTGTAAGCCTGAAATAGGGCATTTCAAAGAGCTGAGTTTTGAACTGAAATTTGTATTCTTGTTTACTAAGCTTATTTTTAAACAAAAATTTAAAGCTATTATTCTTAGCATTAACCTATTTTTAAAGATAACTCTTTGCTATTGACTGTTTTTTCCCTGTTAAGTTTACACTAACACATCCAAGAGAGACTGTTTTTAATAGTCTGTTACAGTTAAGTAAGATGTAGTAAGATCTTTATAATCTTTATAATTCTATGACTTTTATCATAGCAGAACTATGCAAATGGTACCTGACAGTTTAAGATGAAACCCTATCTTCCCATGAAAAGTCGTTCTCTGAAATTTGCTTTTTGTTAGGATTCAAATGCAAAAGCAGGAGAAACTCCCTGGCTGCTAGCGAACAGTAAGAGGCTACTCACCTGCAGCCCCTCTAAGAAAAAACAAAAAGAAACCCTTTGCTTTCGGAATACTCAGTTCTCATCCATGCATCATTTTTCTTCTAGAGGAAAAGACAATATTTAATGGCTTTCTAGAAAGCTCTAGAATTCCCAAGGAACTGAGAAGTAATAAAATGCTACCAGATATTTTTAGTGGTGCCAAAAATAAATGTCTCTTGTCATATATTTATATTATATAAAAAAAAGTTTAGGCATTGTGGTGCAAACCTTTCATCCCAGCCCTTGAGAGGCAGAGGCAGGTGAATCTCTGTGAGTTCTAGGTTAGTCAGGGCTACATATTGAGACCCTGTCTCAAAAAACAAACAAATAAATAAAAATCTTCAGCAATAAAAAATTTTGTAGTTGTTTCCTACATAATAATGACCAGTAGTCAATAATACTATAAAGCTGGCCCTTACTGGGGAATTTGTATGTAGTGTTTAATTCCCAGTTGGGATGATGGAAAACTTCTGCAGGTGGACGATGGCAATCACCGGACAGCAGTGACATCTCTGAATTGGGCAGCACAAATAGTTAAATGGCAAAAATGTGCTTCACATTTATCTTAAATACTTTTAGAAATGAAAAAAATTAAAACTCACTAACTTCTGGCTTCCAGTCCTGAATGTAAGAAACTACAGTTAATCGCTCAATCCTAATCACCAGTGATAAACTGAACAAACTCAGGTGTCAACCCCAGATAAACTGAATAAACTCAGGTGTCAACCCCAGATAAACTGAACAAACTCAGGTGTGAACCCCGGATAAACTAAGTAAACTCAGGTGTCAACCCCGGATAAACTGAGAAACTCAGGTGTCAACCCCGGATAAACTGAGTAAACTCAGGTGTGAATCCCAGATAAACTGAGAAGCTCAGGTGTGACCCCAGATAAACTGAGTAAACTCAGGTGTGAACCCCGGATAAACTGAGAAACTCAGGTGTCAACCCCGGATAACTGAGAAACTCAGGTGTCAACCCCGGATAACTGAGAAACTCAGGTGTCAACCCCGGATAAACTGAGCAAACTCAGGTGTCAACCCCAATTGTCAACCGCTCTTCCTAGCAGAGAAGTGAGATCATAACAGACTGCTGTCCCAAAGTTTGAGAAACACAATGTAGATACAGTGAACCATGATTCCTAAAACAAAATCTCTGAGTATAAAACAGTAGGATCGAGTGGAGGTGCTGTGTGTGTGTGTGTGTGTGTGTGTGTGTGTGTGTGTGTGTCCGTCCGTCCGTCCGTGCACACCTTTAATCCCAGCACTGGGAGGCAGAGGTAGGCAGATCTCTGTCAGTTCAAGGCCAGCCTGGTCTAGAGTGTGAGTTCCAGAACAGCTAAAGTTACACAGAAAACCCTGTCTCAAAAAAGAAAAAGAGCCAGGTGGTGGTGGCACATACCTGTAATCCCAGCACTCGGGAAGCAGAGGCAGGTGATCTCTGTGAGTTCGAGGCCAGCCTGGTCTACAGAACTAGTCCAGGACAGGCTCCAAAGCTACTGAGAAACCATGTCTCGAAAAACCAAAAAAAAAGAAAGAAAGAAAGAAAGGAAGGAAGGAAGGAAGGAAGGAAGGAAGGAAGGAAGGAAGGAAGAAAGAAAGAAAGAAAGAAAGAAA